GAAGAAATTACATGTTCTAAGACAATACCTAATGGTACCATGAAATGACACTTTTCCCAATTCAGAACTAAACCCTTTAACTTACATTGGGTTAAAACTCTTTTCAGATTCAACAAGCATGCATAAAAAAGTTCCAAAAATAGTCAGGTCATCCATAAAAACTTCCATGCAGTCCTCTACCATGTCACTAAATATACTCATCATACATCTTTGAAATGTGGCAGGGGTGTTATAGAGTCCAAATGGCATCCTACGAAATGCATAACTACCAAAGGGACATGTAAATGTGGTCTTTTTTTGGTCTTCTAAGGCTATTTCAATTTGATAGTAAAAAGAGTTACCACCCAAGAAATAGTAAAAAGGATAGCCAGCCACACGTTCTAGAATTTGGTCTAAGAAGGGAAGAGGAAAATGATCCTTATGAGTGGCAGCGTTCAACTTCCTATGATCAATGCACATACGCCATCCGCCACTATTTTTGTGGGAACCATTTTACCTACTTCATTTTTTTACAACTATGAAACCTAACTTTTTAGGGACTTCTTGGGTAGGACTAACCCATTTACTGTCTGCAATTGGGTAGATGATACCCACGTCTAACAATTTTAGTACCTTATTTTTCACCACTTCTTTCATTATGGGGTTTAACCTAAGTTGTGGGTCTCTTCTAGGGCTGGTTCCTTCTCCTAGGTAAATTATATGTGAGCAAATTAAAGGACTAATACCCTTAATATCAGCTATGGTCCAGCCTAACGCAGATTTATGATCATTTCGAATGTTTAAAAACTACTTACCTTGTGATGCATTCAATTTCGAAGTTATAATTATAGGAAAGATATCATCTAGTCTAAGAAACACACGTTTTTATCCTAGAGGCAATGATTTCAACTCTAGTTTAGGGCTCTCAATGCTTGATGGTTGCTGTCCTCCATTCCTTTGTAGCAATTCTTCAAACTTGGGCTGTCATGATGATGTCCCATAATCAAGCAATTTTGCAAAAACAGGACAAATGTTTGCATATTCCTCATCATTATAACTTGTCAAATTTTCAAAATTTGAAAGAAGAGAGTTCAAAGGGTCGAAGTCAATAGTTGCAGGTGTCTCCTCCTCGGTGAGTGCATCAATCATGTATGTTTGGTGACACTCATCATTTTCCTCAGGCTACTTAGTGATGCGAACAATGTTAACTTTTAAAGTCACATTTCCAAAATATAGCTTCATTAGACAGTTCCTACAATTCATAAGAGCATTAGTCGTGGTAAGAAAGGATCTACCAAGAATGATAGGAGTTTTAGAGTTAACATTCACATCAACCTTTAGATCCAAAACTAAGAAATCAACAGGGTAGTAAAATGAATGAATTTGTACTAAGACATCCTCAACTACTTCTCTTGGTCTTATAGTGGACCAATCAGCCAATTGTAGGACTACAGATGTAGGTCTTATCTCACCTAAGCCTAACAACAAGTAAATAGCATAAGGCATGAGGTCAACAATGACCCTTAGATAAAGAAGAGCTTGTGCAAAATCATCGTTCCCAATGACACAAGAAACGGTTGGACAACCAGGGTCCTTATACTTGGGCAGGATCCTTTGCTCAAGCACAGTACTCATTTGCTCCATTAAAAAAGCAGTTTTCTTGACATGTATTTCCTCTTCACAGTGCACAAGTCTTTAAGGACTGTAGCATATGTGAGAACCTGGGAAATCACATGTAAGAGAGGTAAATTGATTTTTCCTTGTTTAAGATGTTCTAAGATCTCATTGTGTTGACCAACAGCTTTTAGGGTAGGCTTGAGAGCTTTTGGGAAAGACACTCTAGCTAGGTTCTTCACTACTAATTCACTTGCGTTACTCTCTTCTGAATTAGTAGAGTCTTTTTTATTTTCCCTAGGCTTGGGGATTGGTTCTATAACCTTTCCAGACTGAGTAGTATGGCATTTACTTCCTTAAGGTTGTTTTCTTCTGAGCCTGAGGTTTGTGCCATATGTTGTCCCTTAGGATTTGGTTGAGCTTGTGCTGGAAATTTCCAGCGCTCCACTATAGCTACAGCATCAGTCAATTTGGACATATGATTTTTCATCTCTTTTCTTTCCTCAACAACTTGGGTAATCATAGTCTCAAACTTCTAATTGGTTTTACCTTGTGCCTCCATAAAAACATGTAAAGTGACGTCTAAAGAGTTCCTAGAAGATGTGGGCTGATATAAAGGTGTAGTATAAGCTCTATTTGGCTAGGCAAATTGTTGACCTTTAGATTTTTAGCTAAGATTGGGATGATTTCGCCACCCCGAATTGTAGTTTCGGAGAAGGGAGTATAAGGTTTCTTGTACATACCTATGACATTATAGTGTTCCTCTTAAACCCCTTTTTCTCAGCTAAAGTATAAGACTCTTATGCTGGATGATCAACTCCACCACACAAAATAAGGTCCTAGAGATTCAATACAAAAAAATAGCTTGTATAGGCTTCGAATCCTTCGCACGTAAGATTTCCAGTTCTCTAGTGAGTGCTTAAATATATGTACTAGTGGGGTTCTCTGTGGATCGTGACTTGTTAGTATTTTCAATGGCGCTAGGTCTAGTCCAAGTATGGGCTTTCTCAGCTAGGCTATCTAAGGAGTCTATAGCCTCATTAGGGTCTTTTTCCAAAAAGTCACCATTACAAATCATCTTAACAAATTAACGCTCCCTAAGTGTTAGTCCTTCATAAAAATAACTCATAATGCGCCAACTCTCATAACTATGGTGGGGGTAAAGGGCTTGCAATTCCTTGAATCTTTCCCACGCTTGGTATAAAATCTCATTATCTTTTCTGGCAAATGAAGAAATTTGCTTCTTTAGGGCACTAGTCTTACGATGGAGAAAGTATTTGCTGAAAAATGCCTGAGTCATTTTAGCCCAGGTTCCAATCGAATGCAATCTCAATGGGTACAGCCAGATTTTTGCTCTTCTTTAAGTGAAATTGGGAAAAATTTAAGCCTGATTGTATCTGTTGTACCATGTTGATTGTGGAAAGCTGCAACCACCTCCTAAAATTTCCTAATATACACGTATGGGTTTTCATTCTCAAGTTTGTGAAAAGTGGGAAGAAGTTGAATCATTCTTAGTTTAAGGTCCATACATGGCATATTAGGTGGAAACATAATGCACGTTGGTGTGGATGTGAATGTGGGTAAAGAAAATCTTAAAGGGTCCTATAAGGCTGGTCTTCATGCTCACTTTTACTCATGGTGCTATGTAGTATATTGCTCAGGCCAATAGATATAGTATCGAAAATAGGGTTAGAAAGAGATTCAAAACTTTAAGCGATCCTTTAGTGAATCTTCTTCGCTCATCTTGATTCCAGCTCATAAAACACAAAAAGGAACTACATGAGAAATAAAATAATAGTATAACAATGATGAAAATAAATTAACTAATAAAAAAGGTAAGGGAATGAAATCACCCGTTTGCTCGAAAATCCTTTAGATTATTGTACCATCTCCTCAGCAATGGCACCAAAATTTGATTACGCCTAAAGAATAACGCAGTATAGCACAGCTTTGGGGTGTCAATTCCATAGGGAGATAGATGAACTGCTCAAAGGATTTAACAAATTAAGATTTTCGCGAAGTGTATGAAAAGAATTTGTTTATTGATTGGAATGAAAATTAAATATCAAGGTTCGAATTAGTGAAGCCCCGAAATTCCCTCACTTGGTTTGGATCATTCAACATTAATAATTCATTCTTATAACTCAATTAGAGATGTTAAACCTAACTATCTAATTGGAAAATATAACATTAAACTCCTATTTAATTCAATAGTAATTCTAAAGATTACATCTCTCAAAACATATTCCCACATTTATTTATTGAAATCAGATTCAAGATTGTTAGGCATAAATGTTGTAATTGGCAATTTTGTGACCAAAAGAGATCAAATTTGATATTTGTAAATGTCAATGACCTAATTGCAAAGATTTGTAAAAGTTAAGGACTTGGGTACAAATATATACTGCTAAGTTAGGGTCGAGTCTAAGTTTTGAACAAGTCTTTCGTTGTGCCGAATTTTTGCTAGCTGCTCGCTAGGCCAGTGCTTAAGTGTCAAAAACAAAACAAGTCTCGCTCGCTTCACACTAGAGGGTTGCTCGAGCGAAGTCCTTTCGCTAGCTTCTCGCTAGCTATCGCTCAAGCGATGGTGTTATATAGCTAGACCTAATTTTTGATTTTCGGAGTTTTTAACCGGCCAACAATACCCAAAACAGCCTATATATTAATATTTGCATCGTATTCTTAAATATTCTCTTGGATTGATTACCTTACAACACAATTTTCTTTCCTCCAACAAGATCAATCCTTTTCTTATTATTTGCCAATGATCTAAACATCAAACTACGTCAAATCAAGCACCAAAAATACCATATGCTCTTCCAGAAGATCTCTCAGAGGGTGAAGATCCAGGACGGTGATCGGTGATCCGATCATTGGAGAACGAAGAGTTCTCACTAATCTACAGGAGATAGAATAAATCATAAAGCTGGGAATTGGCGTGAAACTACCCAATCCAGGAAGACTTTGGAATATTACAGTCCAGAGGTCAGAGTGTCAACGTGTTTGTCAAGTCTAGCAGTACTGTAAGTTTGATTCATCTATAGTGGATAACCACTAGCTTGGGCCCGAAGTTTTTACCCAGTTAGCTTTTTTCCATCAGCAAATAATTGTATTATTTACTCTTCTGCACTTTTATTCCTGTTTTGGAAGTTCAACATAGGATAGAATGCTTGCGAATGAATCTGGACAAAATTAATACTTATGACTTGTTGCATTTATTAATTGATTTGGTAAATTTCGCATAAACACCTATTCACCACCCTTTAGGTGTTAGGTCAAGCAATCTTGTTTTCAAGTGGTATCAAAGCCTAACTTCGAGTCCTGACCCATACTTTGTCTAGATGAGTCAATCCTTGTCTGTGCCTCTATATTTTGATGGAAGCAATTATGCATACTAAAAGGTAAGAATGAGAGCATTCCTTAAGTTCATAGATGAGCATGTTTGGGTTAGTGTGCAAAAAAGTTGGTCAACCCCCTCTACAGTTGTGTTAGGTATTAATACCCCTACAAACATATCTCTTTGGACTAAGGATGAGTTAACTAAGTGTAACTGGAATAGCAAAGGACTTCATGCGTTGTTCATGGCTGTGTTTCTCGAGGAGTTTAGAAGAGTCCCAATGTGTAAAACTGCTAAAGAAGTTTGGGAAATCTTAGAGACCACACACGAGGTACCAAAATCGTAAAAAACTCAAAACTACAAATGTTGACCTCTGAGTTTGAGAAAATCAAAATGAAGGATGAAGAGTCTCTTGATGAATTTTATGACAAGCTGAATGACATTGTGAACTCTAGCTTCAAGTTAGGTGAAAAGATTCCTAAATCCAAGATCGTGAGAAAGATACTTAGATCCCTACCAGAGAGGTTTAGACCTAAGGTCAGAGACATTGAAGAAAGTAAAGACATAAATACTGTTAAGGTAGAAGAAATCAAGGGATTTCTTCAAACCTATGAACTCACCCTGTCACAGCCTAAGAAAAGTAAGTCCATTGCATTAAAGTCCATCAAGGAAGGAGAGTCAAAGTCTAATGATTCTGAGTCTCTTAGGGACGAGAAAATTGCCTACTTTGTTAAAAAGTTTTAGAAGGTCCTCAGGAATAGGAGAAAACCTCAGGATAGAAGAAGTCGAGTTCCTAGCAAATTCACCAAAGAAAAACATGATAAGCCTGTAAGAGTTCTAGTAATAAACCCCGTTTCATTAGGTGCCATGAATGTCAGGGTATAGGCCACTATAGAAACAGGTACCCTAGTTATAAGAAGAATCTGAAGAAAGGGAAGGGCAAGGCTTTGGTAGTTTCACTAACAGATGACGAAACTAGTTGTAGGGATCAACATGAATCATCTAGTAGTAAGGATGAAGGAAACTACACGGCCTTCGTGTCTAGTGCTAAGTGTGAATCGGATCAGGAAGCTGAGAAAGGTGAGGAAAATGGAACATAGTAAGAATTCTGAGGACAATTCAAAGGATGAGCCTGACATCTAAGAAGCATACCAATAGTTGTTTAAGGAGAGTCTCAGGATAAAAAAGATCAATAAATCCCTATTGAAAAAGGTGGATGAACTTGAGAGGGGAAAAGAGAGACTTACTGGTGACTTACTAGAAGCTTCTAAGAGCTTTAGTTGAGTGAGATGTGTGAATGAAAAATTAGAATGTAAGGTGAGGACGTTGTCAAGTAACCTGGAAAAATCAAATGCCCAACTTCAGTCCTTCGTGAGTGGAACTAAAAAGCTTGATGATCTGTTAAGTATGAATAAGCTAGGGAGATATAGGAAAGGTCTAGGATATGTTATGAGTGATACGCATGTTGCTAGCCCATCCAAGACCACCTTCATCCCAGCCTCTAAAAAATCGAGCATGGTTGTCAATCTGGAACCTAGAGGCAAGAATATCTTAGGGGAACAAAATCACAAAACACATAAGATTGTCGTTCATAGAAATCAACATCCACAATTACATACTTTTGAGCCTAGGTTCATTCCTACCTGTCACCACTGTGGTGCCTTGGGACACATGAAGGCTAGGTATTATAAGCTAGTCAAGGAGCAGAGAAGACATAATACTCCTAGTTAGGTAAGTTTTCTATCAAATCAGGTCAGTCACCTAACTGAGATGCTTACTAAGCTGACTGGGATTACCTCAACTTCTAGGAAGGTTTGGGTTAAGAAGAATGATCTAGCTAAGGGTGAAGGTCAATTAATTTGCTATGTTGCTCATGTGTGGAAATAAGGCTTTGTTCACTGCACTTGATGAATGTAATGACGGCATGGTTACATTTGGAGATGGTGCAAGTGCACCTATCCTTGGTAAATGTACTATCCAATTATCTGGTTTACCTACTATATCCAATAGCAGTATGTGCAAGGTCTTAAGTCAAACTTGTTGAGCATTAGCCAAATTTGTGAGGCCGACTATGAGGTAAGTTTTGTGCAAAAAAGGTGTACTTTGTATGATCCGTCCGGAAATGTTGTGCTTGAAGGAGTTAGAACATCTGATAATTGTCATGGAGTTCTGCCAAACACTAACTATTTGTGTAGTAGTGCTAAAATTGACGTGACCGAACTTTGGCTAAAAAGATTGGATCATTTGTACTATAAGAATCTGTCTAAATTGGCTAAAAAGGAACGTGTAGATGGTTTGCCTAAACTAGAACCTATAGAAAATGTTGTGTGTGGACCATGTTAACTAGGTAAACAACTCAGGGTAAAATCTTGACTAAAAGTCCTTTAGAATGGACTTAATGGGACCATCTAGAACTAAGAGTTTAGGAGGTAAACGTTACATTCTGGTTGTGGTAGATGACCTTTCTAGGTTTACATGGGTAGAATTGCTTAGGGAAAAATCCAATGCATGTGACCTTGTCATGTCCTTGTGTAAAAGGCTTAGTAATGAACTCAATCACATAATATCCTAAATGTGAAGTGATCATGAAAAAGAGTTTGAAAACTCCAACTTTGAGAGCTTGTGCATGGATGAAGGAATACTTCATGAGTTCTTCTCTCTTATCACTCCTCAAAAACATGGGATAGTTGAAAGGAAGAATCGCGTTCTTCAAAAAATTGCTAGGGCCATGCTTCCTGGCAAAGGACTAGCTTTACATTTCTGGGGAGAAGCTGTCAATACTGCATGCCACGTAGTCAACAGAGTATATCTTAGATCCAAAACTGATCAGACACCGTATGAGATCTTAAAAGGTAAAAAGCCTCCTGTCAAATATTTTTGTGTGTTTGGCAGCAAGTGCTACATCTTGCGTGACAAAGAGAACTTAGGAAAGTTTGACGTCAGGAGTGATTAGGTGATTTTCTTAGGATACTCTAGGAACAGCTGAGCCTATCAAGTGTATAAAACACGTACACGTGTAGTTATGGAGTCTGTAAATTTTATTATAAATGATTCTGTGAGTGAGGGGGAGAGTGTTGAAAATTTGGATAGGTTGGCTGATCTAAGTATAGATCCTATGTGTTTTAGTAAACTAAAAGAACCACCTAGTCCTGAATCTTCCTCTAAGGATCCAGAATCTTCTAACAAGTAGCAATCCCCTAGTGACAAAAACTAACTCTCTAAGGAACCATCGTCTAGAGTTAAGTCTAATCATCCTAAAGAAAATATTATTGGGGACCTAGATGAAGGCATGAGGTTACGTAAGAGGGTACTGAATAATCTAGCTTACACTAGCTATGTCTCACAAATAGAGCCTAAGAAAGTTGAATAAGCCCTTAGAGATGAATGTTGAGTTAATGCGATGCATGAAGAACTAAATCAATTTGCAAGAAACAATGTTTGGCTCTTAGTCCCTAGGCTTGAAAATTGTAATGTAATTGGTATAAGTGGATTTTTAAAAACAAGATCGATGATGAAGGTACTATAAATAGGAATAAGGCTACACTAGTTGTTCAGGCTGAAGGGATTGATTTTGATGAGACATTTGCTTCTGTTACATGCCTTGAATCCATTCACATTCTCCTTGCTATTGCTTGTACCCTTGGCTTCAAACTTTACCAAATGGATGTCAAGAGTGTCTTCTTGAATTGAATACTTCAAGAAAAAGCCTATGTTGAACAACCCTAAGGATTCATAGATCCTAAGTTTCCTCACTATGTCTTCAAACTCAACAAAGCATTGTATGGTCTGAAATAAGCCCCTAGAGCTTGGTATGATAGAGTTACAACATACCTCGAGGAACGTGGTTTCTCCAGAGATGGTGCTGATAGGACTTTATTCATTTGATGTATTGAAGAAACCATCACCATTGCCCAAATTTATGTTGATGACATAATTTATGGTTCTCCCATTCAGTCTCTTGCTCATGAGTTTGCTGAATGCAAGAAGCAAGAATTTGAGATGAGCATGGTTGGTGAATTGAGTTACTTCCTTGGTCTCCAAGTGAAACAAATTGATTATGAGTTGTTCATATCTCAATCAAAGTAAGCCAAAGACGTTGTTAAAATATTTGGGTTGGACAATAAGAAGCACACTAGTACACCTATGAGTACAAGTATAAAGTTAGGTCATGATCCTATAGGCAAGAGCATAGACCCCTCGTTATACAGGAGTATAATAGCTAGTCTACTCTATCTCACAGCCACTAGACCTGACATAGCCTTCAGTGTTGGCGTGTGTGCGAAATTTCAGGTGAATCCTAAGGAATCACATTTGAGTGCTTCAGACGTATCATTAGGTATGTGAATGGGACTATAGATCTTGGCATTTTATACTCTAGGGACTCTAATCTTGATTTGGCCGGCTACTCCAATGTTGATTGGGCTGGTAATGCTGATGGTAGAAAGAGCACTTCTGGAAGTTGTTTCTACATTGGTAGTAATCTAGTAGCATAGATGAGTAAAAAGAAAAATTCCATCTTCTTATCAACGGTCGAGGTCGAATATATAGCTATAGGTAGCTGTTGTACTCAATTACTTTGGATGATGCAGATGCTGAGTGATTATGGGATTAGTCAAGGGACCATGACTGTATTCTGTGACAACACAAGTGCAATTAACATTTCCAAAAATCCTGTCCAACACTCTCGAACCAAACATATTGACATTTGACATCATTTCATTCGAAAGCTTGTTGAAACTGGTGTTGTCTTCTTAGATCATATCTCTACCAAGAACCAGTTAGCAGACCTATTTACGAAACTGTTAGATAGGATGAGGTTTAAGTTGCTTAGGAAAGATGTTGGTGTTTGTGTGCCTCTCTAACCACGCTTTAGGCTCATACATGCACATCTCATACCATGCATTCATTATTGCATTCATATTGTACAGTGAGAACTCATTTTGTGTATTATGCGTGATTCATTTTTTTTTTGTCACTGTTGCCTCATGTGTGCCCTTAATAAATTTGCATTTCAAGATCAAATGTGCATTCGATATATGTACAGTTCTGAGGTTTCATCACTTGACTTAAGTTTATTTGGACCACTTGGTATATGTATCCTCATACATCCTCTACATAGCACACACTACGTTGTTGTTGGTGAGTCTTGACTGCATGTGTGAGATTCGTGATGGTGTTCTTCTCTAGTTCGGGGTTGCCCTTGAACATGACTTGATCTGTAACTAGTGTGACCTGAACAGTGGTATCTTCATCCTAAAAGTATTCATGGATATGCTCTTCATTTGTTTTTAACTTATTACCGACTTCGGAGCCTATTTGACTCGAGCAAATAAGCCGTAGAGGTTTTTAACCTGGTGCCCTATAGTCATCTAACTTGGGAGCTACTGGCCCAAAGCTCGTTACAGGGGTCATTCCAGTAGCTTATTGGAGACGAGATTGAACATAAGTTCTTATAACAAAAAATTAAAAAAAAAATCGCACACAAATAGGGAAAGAAAAATTGACACGGTATATCACCGGATATAGGTCATAGTGGTGCCAGATTTGACTGTCATGGGATAGGAACATACTCTTTCTACAGTTGTCTTTGCGTGTCCCTTCTCACAAATATAAGGTTTTAAGTCTTACTTACATGGATTGAGTGACACTTTACATGTTGACGTCATGTATACAATTTACTCCACATGACTTTGATCTATGTGTGGGATAGTAGTTCTGCTCATTGAGAATGTCATATTTGTGATTGCGTGCATATTTTTTTTGGGTCTCATAGACGTTGGAGTGCGTGCCCTTTTTTACTTTAAAAAAAGAGGGGACGATTTTTGAAAGCTTGGAACTTTGGTGTTATTTTCTTCAAAATTGGAACTTTGGTGTTGTTTTCTTCAAATTTTGAACTTTGGTGTTCTTTTCTTCAAATTTTAAACTGGTGCTATTTTTGAACTTTGATTTTCACTGGACGCTTGCTGGAGCTTTGCTCGAACTATAGAAGCAATGTGCTTGTCGCTCGACGCTCGCTTGAGCGAGAACCTTATTTTTAAACTAGTTCATGCGCAGTTTTTTTTCTTCTTCTCCATTCCTTTTTCTCTCAACTCTTTTGTACCCATACTCAAATCCTCTTGTGAATTAACTTTGTGGTGTGTGGGGAATTCGTTCAAGGCATAAAAAATCACTTCTTTTTCCTTATTTCCATGAATTTTGAAAGTATTTTGCATGAGACCTAGTTTTCCACTTCGAATTTGACTTTGGGGTTTTTGATTATTGCATGTTTCTTGCATCAATTCATTGATCCCTATGGATTCCTTGATGTTTATTAACGTGTTTTGAATTTCATTTTATCCATTTTTCATGGTTTTTGTTGCATTTTTGGGATTTTCTCATTTTTTTCCCTTTGTTCTTACATTATTTTCATGCATTTGTGACCATCGTTTTGGGAGTTTGTGGGGTGGTTTGTGACTAGGAGTAGATGCTCATTGTTGGCTTGGGTGTGGATTATTGTCGTGGTTTGAGGTATTATATGGAATTGTTCATTGAAGTCATGCATACCACATGTTCGATGAATTGTCTCATTCGTCGTTATATTGGTTTTTTGGTCATTGGATAGGGCACACAATCCTAGGATGTCTATGTGGTTATTTTGGGAGGTATTTTTCCACGTTTGCTCCAGTTTAGATGTGTGTTTCACTTCATAGCCACTTGGGTCTAGGCATCACGTTGTTGTCCTCCCATTTCATTCCTTTTTTCCATTGTTCTGCGTGCTTTGCATTGTTTTGCATGCTTTGCATCTATTTTGCATTGTTTTGAGTACTATGAATCTTTTTGCATTGTTATCCATTCACTACTTTTCCTAATGTTTCCATTTCACGTGCTTTTACACTTGGTATTAAGTTTTTGGATTTCAAGAAATAGGTTTAACAAGCAATGCTGCTTTGGTCAATTGGGTAGTTGTGTTAGATGTTATTTACTATTCGTGTCCTTGACTACATTGTGTTGTGTTTTGTCACAGAATGTCAAATGGGGAGTTTGTTAGGTATAAATGTTGTAATTGGCAATTCTGTGACCAAAAGAGATCAAATTTGATTTTTGTAAATGTCAAGGAATCTAATTGTAAAGATTTGTAAAAGTTAAGGACTTGGCTGCAAATGTATACCGTTGAGTTATGGTCGAGTCCAAGTTTTGAACAAGGCTTTCGTTGTGCCGAATTTTCGCTAGCTGCTCCCTAGGCCAGTGCTCGAGCTTCAAAAATAGAACAAGTCTCATCGCTTCTCGCTAAAAGGTTGTTCGAGCGAAGTCCTCTCGCTAGCTATCGCTCAAGCAACAGTGCTATATAGCCAAACCTAATTTTTGATTTTTGGAGTTTTTAACCGGCCCACAATACCCAAAACAGCCTATATATTAATATTTGCACCGTATTCTTAAAAACTCTCTTGGATTGATTACCTTTCAACACGTCTTTCTTTCTTCCAAGAAGATCAATCCTTTTCCTATTGCTTGCTAATGATCTAAACATCAAACTAAATCAAATCAAACACTAAAAATACCATATACTCTTCCAGAAGATCTCTCAGAGGTTGAAGATCTGGGAAGGTGACTGGTGATCCGGTCGTTGGAGGACGAGGAGTTATCGTAAATCCATAGGAGATAAAAGAAATCATAAAGCTAGAAATTGGCGTGGAACTTCCCAATCCAGGAGGGCTTTGTAATATTATAGTCAGGAGGTCAGAGTGTCAATGTGTTTGTCAAGTTTGGTAGTACTATAAGTTTGATTCATGTATAGTAGATAACTACTGGCTTGGGCTCGGAGTTTTTACCCAGTTGGGTCTTCTTTGTCAACAAATAATTGTGTTATTTACTCTTCTGTGCTTTTATTCTTGTTTTGGAATTTCGACATAGGATAGAATGCTTGTGAATGAATCAGGAAAAAATTAATACTTGTGACTTGTTGCATTTAGTAATTGAATTGGTAAATTCTACGTAAACAGCTATTCACCCTCTAGGTGTTAATTGGGTCAAACAATCATGTTTTCAAAGATCAACCATATACTTCAAACATAAAGTAGTAAAGAATTACACCAATAAAATTAATTAAAATCGAACTTAACAGATATTTCAATTGTTCAATGGAAAAAGCATGACTGAATCTATGAAAAATCTAATAAATGTTAAACCAATTTCAAAACATATTCATAATAAGGAAATCTAAACCCTAGAATTGTTTGACAATGAAAAACTAAATTACATGAATTAAAAGATGATGAAATCACCAAAACCGATTGAGTTCCTTCCTAGCTTTACCGAGATCTTTAGTTCTCCATGGATATCTTGGGCAAAAACCAGAGAAAATGTTTATGGAGATGTGTATTCTGCATTTTAGGACATTCTAGGGCTTAAATATCGTGAAAGAGATTTGTTTTCATAAGTGTTTGATTGAAATTAGGAAACCAGAATTCTCGCCTCAGAGTTGAACTATGCGACCACATGGTCATTGGTGTTACGGTCGCATGGAACAACAATTTTTAGCCTTCAATTTCTCTATAACACAATGTACAACCGCATGATATAAAGTCGTGCGGTCGCATGGTTGTTATTGTTTGCCCGACAGTTTTTGGTATTTAGGTCATAACTTTCTTTCCTGATGTCCAATTGATGCGATTCATAGTGCGTTCGAAAACTAATGCAAGGAGATGCAATTTTATTTGAAATCTAATTCAAGCGTTTGCTAGGTCAAAAATGGATCTCAATCTCTGCATGAAAATCTAGAACATCCTTATGTGGTTGGAAATTGATTGGTGCAAATATTGTGATCATATTTCACTTTTTTGTACTTCTAATTGCACCCAATTAATCCCTAGCATTCTCAAATCATCATTCCATCGCTTGTCTCATCTTTACATTATTTACAACATTTCAAAGACAACCTTCATAAGAGCTCAATGCTGATTTTAGTCCCTGGCCATTTGCCAAGTGGCGAATTGATCTTATTGGACCTCCACCAAAAGGAAGAAGTAGTGCTAGTTTTGCATTTGTTGCTATCAACTACTTCACTAAATGGGTCGAAGCCGACCAAAATAACTAAGACAAACACTTCAAAATTTCTGCGGAAAAACATCATATGCAGTTTTCTTATTCCTCACTCAATTGTCTTAGATAATGGGCGATAGTTCAACAACAAGAAGGTAAAAGGCCTATATGACGAGTTGGGAATCGAGAAGCACTTTTCTTCGCCATATCACCCACGGGCAAATGGACATGTAGAAACTATTAACAAAACTATCAAATACACTTTGAAGAGGAAGCTAGACACATCAAATGGGGCTTGGGTGGACGAGCTACCTCAGGTTTTATGGACTATCCGAACTACTTTTCGAATAGATACAAGGTAAACTCCTTTTTCCATGACTTATGGCGCCAAGGCAATGAGCTTAGTTAAAATAGGTCTACCATCTTCTGGTTGCATACATTTTAATAAAATATCAAATGATGAAATATGGATATACGAACTAGATTTCCTTGAAGAAATGAGAGATGGATCTCAAGCAAAGTTGGCTATCAGCGAAAGATAACTAGGTATTACAATTCTAAAGTCAAAATAAAGTCGTTTCATATAAACGATCTAGTACTATGAAAGGTCTTTCTATCTATTAAGGAACTCGGTACAGGAACCCTTGGCCTCAACTGGGAGGGTCCCTATTTTATAAAAGAATAGGTTCGACCAGGGACCTACAAGATCGAAGGAATGGATGGAAATTTACAACCTCATCCATAGAATGCAGAACATCTGCAAAAGGATTATAAAAAATCGTGAAAGTATTTTTGTATAGTTCGTCTTCAAGAATGAAAGTTTTATCTCATCAATTATCTTATT